TTACCATTTCTGAAGGGCATTGATTTCATCATTTTGATTATTATTCTAGGATGTTTTTTGACTTTTCCCTCGTTAAAATGGTTAAGTGTTATAACTCACTGAGCTAGCTTCTCACTCCCCGCTAAATTTTTACAGAGAACACATGTGACGTTGGCGAGGATTTCATTAATTAGAACTAGCAAGTTGACATTTCATGGTGAGCCCGTAGTTGTTCATGTTGGGAAGTAAGCTTATCTATTGTTATGGTACTTCGTTTGAATTCTTAGAGCTGCTCCACAGTCACTTCTCTACTTGAGTCACGAGTATTCTTCCGTTCTATATAGACATGTGATTAGTATTATACTTCCTTCCATTTTTTTTTAGATGAATTAGTACTATTGCTTGGCGATTATATGGTTAATGGAAATTGTGTCTAACTCTTATATTGGAGATGTTTTTAGTTATATTGCTGATCTCTGAGACATGGAAAAACTGGATAGGACCAAAGACAGAGGAAACTCTGCCTGATTTTTCTGTAGAATTCTGACAAGGCTTGCTTTGGGATTCTCCCCCTTAGTGCTCGCTGGTCACGTCCCTAAATTGGATCGTGACACTGATCAATTAGCTAAATTAGCATCGATGGAGAAATTCACTGAAGTTTCAAACACAAACATTACAATTAGGAGTAGTTAGAATAAGGCACCGTAACAGTAAGAAGATTCTCCTCTGTGCAACTGTTATCTGCAATGAAGCCTCAGGCTCTGTTGTTAATAGAGTTTATGCTTTTATTGGTCGAAAAAGAAACTTGGACCAATATGTTGATTTAGCTACATCAAACCATAGTTTGTACTGGAAACACCCAAATAAATCCTACAGGAATACAAGCACAAGCAGCAATGAGCTTTGGCTCCCAATTCGTATGATTACTGTACACCAAAAAGAAGGTTGATGTAAAAGCCAAGAGCATGCTAACTATGGAGACAAACAGCGCCGTGATTCCGAAGAATAACTTTGCAGGCAATGACATAAGAAAATCGTCTTCAGCATAGCGAGATGTGAGAATGGACAAAAACGCGCCTTCAATTCATACTGAGAGAGATATGAAATGCTTTCCATCTCTCACCTTAAACCACAATATCTCTTTTTGCATCTGAAGTGCTGCTCCAGAAACCTTGAGAAAGGATGGAGCAAGTTTCTCCTTCTTACTATCTCCAACAGCTTTATCATCTCCACTTTTTTAACACTCCGCCCAGAGCTCCTCAAGTAGTAGACCAGCTTGTTTCTTCGACCTTTTCACCAAACTAAGTTATTATATAAAGCAATTCACTAAAATAATACGTTTTTCTAAGATTTTAAAAAACTAATATAAACGTATTTCACAGTAACATTTTAGGGTATATTTTATTTTTTAAAAATTGACGGCGTTAGATCGATATACGTTACTCATAGCCCACTATCTTGTGGGCTCAATGCTGATTGACTTTTTTTTCAAGCTAGTGTCACGTAGGCCGAAAAAGGGGTAGAAAATTACTTATATAATAAGTTCGGAGGTAATTGGACCTTAGTATAGTATAAGTGTATCTCTGGAATTTCAGACATAGGTTGAGGAGGTACTTGTGCATTTTCCTGATGTATATATATAGTTTAGATCTTAAGAAATATGTTTATATCTCTACATAAAAAATTATCATTAGCGGCAATTAATTCTCAATTGCCGCTAAATATGTATTTTTTGCGGCAATTAGCAGTCTTTATATATGTCACTGAAGTCTTTAGCAACATTCGTTTTAATGACATTCAAGTAAAGCCGGTAAAAGTTTTAACACTCTTTGTAAATTTTAATATTTAATACTGCTAAAAGTTATTTTTATTGTAGTTTATTAATTGATTTTGGATATATATGTAATATTAATTGATGTATATATAGTTTATATCTGAATAAATGATTTAGAAGATAAGTGATTAGTGTTAAGGGTAAATCATGAAAAAAAATGTATAATTTTATTGATTGACATGAAACATTGCACGCGCACACTAAACTAATAATAATAAATGTATAATGAAGTATGTACGGAGAAAATTAAGTTATATGAAGAAGGGTGGTTGGAGAGATGTCAATTATAGCATATAATTCCCACCAACCAAAGGGAGTGCATCTAAGAGAGTGGGCCTACTCTAGTGAATCCCCTCTCGAACAAAGTCAACAAAGAGCACCGGTGAGAATGTTTCATCCTTAATCAGAAGTATTGGTTCGAGCCTTGTGTGTGGGCAAAATCTTGTTAGAAGCATCACTCTTAAACGTGTCCTATAATGCACGATTCGAATTTAGTCGGAGCTCAAATGTGAAGTCCAAACACTAAATAAAAAACCAAAAGAAGAAAAAAAATAAATAGAGGAAAATTAGACAATTGTCATGTAATAATAAATGTATATGAAGTAGATATTGGGTGGGAAACAAAAAAAAAAAAGGAAAAAAGGGAAACAAGACAATCACATGTTATAATAAGTGTATGGCTACTAAGTTATATGAAGAAAGGTGGTTGGAGATATAATAATTATAGCATATAATTCCACAAAGCAAAGGGAGTGCATCTAAGAGAGTGGCCCTACTCTAGTGAATCCCCTCTCGAACAAAGTTGACAAAGAGCACTGATTAGAGTGTTTTTATCCTTAATCAGAGATATCGGTTCAAACTTTATGTGTGAGAAAAATCTTATTAGAAGCACCACTCTTGAATTTGTCTTATAATGCGTGATTCAAATTTAGTTGAAGCTCAAATGTAGACTCCGAACATCAAATGAAAAAAAAAATCGAAAGAGAGGGAAACAAGGCAATCGCATGTAATATTAAGTGTATGGCTACTAAGTTATAGGAAGAATGGTGATTGGAGAGACATTTATTATGGCATCTAAGAGAATGTCCCTACTCTAGGAATGCCCTCTTGAACAAGGTCAACAAAGAGAGGGAAACTCATTTATGTGCATCTAAGACAATTGTCATGGATTTATTGATCTTCTAGCTAGGTTTCACACACACGTATATACCAAACTCTATGTACATAACCTAACTATGGGCCTACCTAATATATATAAAGGCGAATCCATTTTAGAAAAAAATTATTTGGATGAGTATCTTTTAATAAAGGAAAAATAATCAAATATGCTTTTGAACTATTTAAAAAGGTTTAGATATATTCTCATTTAAAGTTTGGCTCACTCGTGTCCTTACATTTCAACTTTTCGCATAGATATGCCCTTAAGGTTACTATATTTATTTGTGAATCTTTTGCTTTAATTTTATATTTTTTCCTTATGTTTTTCTTTCTTTTTTTAATCAATTACTCATTTTTGGAATTTATCAAAAAAATAAAAATTTAAATAAAATTGTTGAAAATTTGTCGAGTAGTTTATTTAAAATAGGGGTTGATTTATGGATTGGATTAGGTGTTTATGGGTTTGAATTTCTTAGAGGCATAATAGATCTCTTTCCATTTCCATATAAATGTCATGTGGTAAGGACAAAATGACATGTCAATTCCATGAGGACATTTAAAGAAATGGAAAAAGAGCTTGGATATATCCAGCAGACCAACTAAGGCTCAGAATGGCATATCTATGTGAAAAGTTGGAGGCGAGGATATGAGTAAGCCAAACTTTAAATTGAGGGTATATTTAGACCTTTTCGAATACTTTAGAGACATATTTGACCCTTTTCCCTTTAATAAATAATTACTGATTTCAGTGATATTATTTTTTTTATTACCATTTTTAACAATACATAGCAATACTATGTTAAATTTGTATTATGTATGAAAAGTAAATTATGTATACAATGTATATATATTATACTTGTTTGGTAAGCAATTGACACATTGTATTATAAGTGAATTAAAATGTGTAATGAATGTATTATACATCCGTAAAACTTGTTTATATGTGAATAATAAATTGTTTATTATAATATGTATCAAAATTAGATTATATATGTATTAAAAATAATCAAGTGAAACAAATGTTATTGTTATAAATAATCAATATTTTTTTAATATAGTATATTTATTTATATTTCTCATTCATTTATTTACCTAACCAAACATTATATTTGAATCACCATTCGTTCGTTTTTACTTGTGCACCATATTGAAATAGATATTTATCTTTACTTGTTCATTATGAAATACAACAGATAATTATTTACCATTTTATATCTATTTTACTTTTACTATTAAGTATCGTTACTAAAGGTTATGTCAAATCAAACATGGACAAATAAAAAATATTAATATGGGGGTACATTTATTTAAACATGAATTAAATTTATGATATGAGTTGATAAAGATTTTTACTTAACTATACCATCATTTTTCATGTTTATTCACATATTTAACGGATAAAGGATATATTTGGCCAAAAATATAACGAAAGGGATATATTAATCCAAAAGTATAACGAATGGTATATTCAAACTATTTCCTATAGTAGAAGGGTATATTTGACCATTTTCTGTTCTATTTAACCCCCTTTTATGTAGAGTACTTTGTAAAATTTCATTACCCCAAAAAGATAATTATATCCTATAATTAGTGATTTATTACCTCTTTTGTGCATTATTTCTCCATTTCTTCAATAGAAAAATAGTAATGTCTTCAAATTATTAATTTATTTTATTTATTATTTTGAAAATTCATAATGTTCATTTGATAAAAATAGAGATAAACATATTAATATTAATATAGATTTAATGTCAAACAATTATGTATTTAAATAAAAAGTAAAGTTAAGATTTTAACTCTTAATTTCATATAAATCAATTGTATTATTTTTAGGACAAAAAACAAATAGTTATTTATAATTACTTGTAAACCATCAAAATCAAAATCAAAATATAATTAATTATATTTTTCAGCCATCATAATTTTTTCATTGTCAATGTTTTGTACGGAACCTAAATAATGGAGTATGTAGAAAGGTCAAGTAAATGAATAAATAGGTCTTCGTTTTACTTCACATGTCTTAGTTCACAACATTTAAAGGATCTCTTTATATTGTTTGAACAACAGTTAATTTTTCAAGGTAAGGTAGGTGAAGATTCATTTTTATTATAACAAATCATCTTCTTTAATTTTCTTTGTTTATAGCCTTTCTATTGCCCAAAATATATAGTATATATTATTATGTACAAAGAGGGAAAATTTAGCAAAAAGTAACACATTCCTTAGAAATCAAAATTATTTACTTCTTTCTTATGCACTCTTTACAAATGGGAAAATTTACTCTATTTTTTTTAATAAACAATACAGATTCCACTAGTTTAGGTCTTCGTTTTACTTCACATGTCTTAGTTCACTACATTTAAAGGATCTCTTTATATTGTTTGAACAACAACTAATTTTTCAAGGTAAGGTAGGTGAATTTTTTTAATTTAATACTAGTGTTTAATTTTATATGCACATTCATATGTTATATTGAAAATAACCGGTTATAATCCTAACAAAAACAAATGAGGACTTGAACTTCAAAGTTGAAATGTGTCAATGATTGAGTTTTCTGTAGAAATTTACGGAATAAGTTGTTCATATTGTTGAAGCAAAGAAGAATCATACTTTTTGTGTATCCTAATTTAGTTTGTGTTGGCAGGTGCAATTCGAACACGTGATAATGAAGAGCGAGTCTTCCCATGAAATTGAATCAGTTTTTGAGGATTGTGAAGATAATGAACAATTTTGGTCTGAAGAAGAAGGAAGTGATGTTGAAAATCAACTTTTCAACACTGTAATATTTGTTAGTAAGTTCACAACCATCTTCTATAGATCGCATAAACCCTTTAAGTTTTATGGATATATAATACAACATAAAGTTAATAGTAATAGTGTCAATGAAGAATGACAAAAGTTTCACATCTATATGTTAATGAGATGGGTGGATTATTTATAAAGCATGAACAATCTTTCTTCTTTTGAGCTAGCTTTTGGGATGTGAGTTAGGTGTAAGACCTAATGCTATCATAGCAGGGTGGTCCGTCGGAATTCTCCAAAATCAAAATTGGTTGTAAATCTAATAACAGATTTTAATTTGCAGATGAAGAGGAACTGGATTGTATAACTGTAGCTCAAATCCTTCAGAGTGCTGCTATAAAAGATAGGTGGGAGATTGCAGAACCAATTCTAATGAAGGAACAAAGTCTTGTTCATAGTGGTGACTATGGAGAAGGCTCTGAAACATTACTTCACATTGCAGCAGCAGCAAAAAGTATCGGATTTGTGCGAGAGCTAATTAAACTAATGAAAGTAGGTGACTTGGAGATAGGTCGGAATACGGCATTTCACGTTGCAGCAACGGTAGGTCACATTGAAATAGCTAAAGCAATGAGAGAAAAGAATAAGAATCTACCAAACATTTTTAATGAGGAGGAAATTTTAGCAATCACTCTGGCAGCTGAAGCTGGGCATAAAGCTATGGTAACATACCTTAATGAGGTCACAGATTATGATGTGATAAAGCAACAACTCTTGGTCCTTCTTGAGATCACTATCCAGAATGAAATGTATGGTAAGCTATTAAAATAAACACAAAGTATCCTTCTTTTCTTTTTTTTAATATATATATATATATATATATATATATATATATACTAGTTCCTGGACACGTGCATTGCACGTGTTATCCAATGTCAATTGCTATCACAGAAAATAACCTTAAATTGCTTGCTTAACTTCTTAACTTTATTTTTCTATCACCACAATGACTGATTTCAAAACTAAAGATCTATTGAACTTTGATAAAAATGATAAAGAACAAATTTTAGAAATTAATTAAATAAAAATAATAAAGCAATATTGTATTTCATCTATAACAAAAAGTAATTATAATAAACTATAAATAATGAATCAATTAAGTAAACTAACAAAATCAGTATACCGGAGAAATCAATTATCTAAACTTTTGAAGCTTCCCTTTGAGTTTTTTAAAATAATTTTAGTGGCAATTTCAATTATTTTTTATTTTTTTCAAGAACAATAAATATATCTAGTATAGTAAAATTACATTACACTCTCATTTATCGATATTCATAATTATAATAAAATTCAAAATAATGATATGCTAAACCTTAGTAAAAAATGACATGGAGCAAAATTTTAGAAATTTATTGAATAAAAATAATTAAGCAAGATATCATTTAAGACTCCCAACAAATACACTATACACTACTTCTTTAGTGATGATGACATATTAAATTGTACACATTGTTTTTCATCTATAAATAATATAATCACAAGAAATTATAAAGAATATATCAATTAATGAAAATTATAAAAATGTTTTCCAAAGAAACCACTCTTCTTTCTTTCATACCTCATTAATCTTGCTAATGTTGATGATAGAGATAGTAATCTTCATATATCATCCCATAAAGTTTGAATTTGGCGATTTTATGATTTCGATATATATTCATTAACTCTACATATTTCACCATCTTTTATATACAAATATTGCTTTAAATAAAAGGGGAAAATGATGAAAAAGAAGTCAAAAAACAAAAATTAAAGAAATCCTATTGAGCTGAAATATGTCCATAAGGAAAATGAAAATAATTTTCTTTGATGTTCTTTAGGATTCCTTTAACAGATGTATTGATTATATGTATTAAATTAAATCAACCTACATTTAATTACTATAGAACTTCTGAAATTCTGCAAAAGAAAAAAAATTATATTTTGCTGAAATAATAAATCAATCTTTAACACTTCATTAATGCATTATGCATATGATTAGGACATGTACCGTTTCTTATTTATAGTATAAAAGTTATTTTCTTAATGGTTATTTATCAATTAGTAATGACTTTCCAACTTCTTCATTGTTTATCACTTAGAAATAAAGTTCCATCTTCTTTTTCAACTAAAAATTCATGGTTATTGATAATTAATACAGATGAAATAGATACATGAACTCTCTAGTTTCACATTTAATTTTTTTTTTCAGTTTTGTTATTTTTTTATCTCTAGTTCCACATTTAAATAATTTGATGTGTTATAAATTTTAATTCGGTGAAGGACATTTTCGTAATTCAACTTTGAACTCAAAATCTTTCCACTTATAATAATATATGATATGAAACATCTCATCAGATACACATGTCAAAGAGTTTAATTTTCATTATATAGAGAAAATAAAGATTACACATCTCTAAAGATTCGTCATTCCTATTCCTAAAGATCAACTATTCTATCTCTACAAATTTGCAATTCAATCCCTCTAAATCTGTCTTGCTATCCCTCTGGATCAAATATTCTATCACAATATTCATTTCTTTGATTCTACAACAAATATATATGATCACGCTAATTTATATCACTATCTAATTACACTGATATACACAATCATTTAATTTAGTTACCTGTAACATGTTGTTCATCTTGTATTCCAAACATACTTAGAATAAAATTTTGAACATCTTTGTAAGCCAACAAAGTTTAAGAATATTTTCACAACTAGAAAATTAAAAATAGTAGCGAAACTAGAATAAAAAACAGATTCTAAAAAAATATACGAAATATTTTTCTTAAAGAAGAATTGTTGTTAATATGTGTCTAAAGAATCTTACTGGTTCCAAAAAACTTTGCAGATCTTTCAAAGATATTCAAAATTTTGTTCTAAGTATGTCTGGAATACAAGATGAACAACAATCTTAAGGAAATTAATATACTGTTAGTATTTTTTGTATTCTACTGATTGAGAGAATCTGATCATGGAAGTAGAAGATAAATGCATTACTTCTCCATGATTCGTTGCTTTGTTTAGCAAGGTCGAAGTGAGAATGTAACAAAAAAATTTTATGGTATTCCATTTAAAGATTACCAGGTAACCTTCTTATTGAATTATCTAAGAAGGAAAATAGTTTCTAAGAATTATCATCTTTGATTTTTTATTTTTTTATTATGTGTATCTTTGAAAAAAAATCTGCAAACCATATGTTGTGGAATGAATTTTACTTCGCAAATATTGTTGCTTTTAAAATTCTTTAGTTTGCAAAAATGAGAGATGCATATTTTTGGTTTGATAAAATAGTATGTCAAAATATTATAGTTAAGACTATTTGATAAGAAAAACATTTCTATGTGATAAAAAATGTGTTATTCCGTTTGAAGAAAAAAAAAGACTTTTGTAGTTTTGTACTCCATGAGAAATGTTAGTGTGTCTGATTTTTGTAGACTAAAAACTTTTGTGGTTTTGTACTCTGGATAAATTGAACTATACAATTGATTTGAAGAATATGAAAACTTCACATAATAAGTCAGTATTGTATTTGTGATTTTCTATAAACTTCAATGTAATATAGAAATAAATTGTACATTTTTTTTGTCCTTATTATTAGTATTTAAAATACTAAGTGGTATGTCTATTTATGATAGAGGAAGTGACTTAGAATTTATGAGTTAATGTCTCTATGGAATGAACTTTGACATTGTGTAAATATTGTAAAAGAGAATTGCAGCACTATAATTCTTTCGTAGAATAATGTTTTCAACATTAAAATATGTGGAAAAACTATTTTCAAATACTTGAAAAATATTTTTGAGATCACATTTGAAATGTGGGGATTATTTGCTTATGATTAGACTTGGTGTCTAATTTAACTTTGGAGCAAAAGATATGAAATTCAATTATACTTTTGTATTATGTTATACCCACAAAATTCTTGGAGTATATTTGATATTGTGGTTGTTGAGTTTCTCTATTACTAGTATATAGTGTGAGTAGTATGAAACATCCAAATTATATATATACTTGTTCAAAATAATTGTGTTCATTTATGGGGAAAAAATATCACTTAAAATATTGTGATTTTTCATGAAAAGATATGTCTATTATAATAAAAGTATTTGCATAGACATGAATATTGGTGAATAGTCATTTGTTATTTTTTTTTAAAAAAAATAACATCTGGACTATATTGTCTTTATTGAACCCGATGAAACTTTGTTCATGGGTATTTCTATAACAATTATATTGAAAGTTATGGAAATGTCCTTCTGAAAAGGACATTTGACAATCTAAACAATGTTTGTATCACATAAAATTGTAAGAAATAGGAACAAAATATTAGTGAGGAAAAAGCTACCTCACAACGAAGAGCTTTTCGAACTCAATATTTTTATTTGTTTTTACTTGCTTGAGTCAATGTTTGTGACATGAACACTTAGGGCATGTCAATTACAAAACCTTGTAAGGAAAACTGATCAACTTAGAAGTTTTGCCAAACTTTGAGTGCAATAAATAAAAATGTCAAGTTTTTGTGGAATCTAAGTATGTTGAGCATTCTTTTAAATTTGTTGAATGGAATTCTAATCCCTTAGAATTAATTTACACTGACATTTGTGATATGAAGTTAACACCATCTCATGGTAGGAAAAAGTATTTGTTACTTTTATTGAGAATTGCATTAGAAATGACTATGTCTATTTGCTGAATGGTAAGGATGAGCAATAGAAATGTTTAGACAATGTAATATCAAAGTTGAAAATCAGTGTGAAAAAATATAGGTGATAAAAATGGAGAGTATAAATCTCATTGTGCAGAAATATATTTGAAAAGTGGAATATCCATCAAACTACTGTCATATTCACCTCAATCTAATGAAAAACCGAACGTTGAAAGAAATGATGGATGCATTATTATAAGTTCGGGTTTACATAAAACTTGTGTGGAGAAATTATCCTTACTGCAAAAGGGAACAACAAAAAGTTTTGTCTTTTTAGAAAGAAAGCGATTTTGTTTAATTAGAATACAATCTTTTCCATATGAGAAATGAAAAGAAAGGAAATCCAACTTGAAATATTTCAAAGTGTGTGGGTATCTAGTCAAAGTCCAAGTTCCTATTCCTAAAAGAATCAAAATAGGACCTATGACTGTGGACTGTAAAATTAGACTTGAGTAGTCTAGAGAAGGGTCTAAAAGGCCTAGGAAATGAAAAGAATAATGTACTTAATAAAGAGATTCAGAGGCTTAGTAAATGTTAAAGGACATTTACTTTCTTCGAATATGATAAGCTCATTCTTTGGAAAGATGATGTGAATAAACAATGTTGGAAGTTAATTGATCTTCTTCAAGAAAATGAACCTTTGGGTTCAAAGTGAATTTTTAGAAGGAAAATAACAGTTGATGGAACTGTTGAAAAATATAAAGCAAGACTTTGTGTCAAAGGCTTTAGATAAAAAAAAACCAAGGTTTTGATCTTGTGTGTATATATACTCGTTAGTAATTAGAATTACATCCATTCGGATGCAAAACTTATTAGTGTGGTATACGACCTCAAAATTCATCAAATGCATGTGAAAAGAACTTTCTTAAATGTAGAATTGGAGGAAGAAATTTACATGGAACAACCCAAGGGTTCTGTGGTTCCTGGTAAATAAAAAAAAGTGTGTGAACTTGTTAAGTCACATTATGCAAGCACCGAAACAATGACATAATTTGATCAAACCATGTCGGCAAATGGATTGAAGAATGATGAAAGTGATAAATGTGTTCACATTAAAATCATAAGG